TTGTGATGGGAACTTTTAAGATCTATTCCCTTAGCAGCTTTCATATATACAATACAGTGTTGTTAAGTACGGTCTCCATGCTGTACATTACATATCCAGAACTTATTTGTCTTATAACTGGAAGTTTGTACCTTTTGATTAACTTCACCCATTTCTTCCATCCTGCCCCCACCCCCCATCACCCACCAATCTCTTCTCTGTTTCTGTGAGTTTGGTTTTTTTTTTTAGATTCTAGGTGTGCGAGATCATAGAGTATTTGTCTTTCTCTGTCTGACTAAGTTCGTTTAGCATAATGCCCTCATGGTCCATTTGTATTGTTGCAAATGGCAGGATTTCCATCTTGAGTTCTCATGGCTGAATACTATTCCTCTGTGTGTGTGTGTGTGTGTGTGTGTATTGCTTCTTCTTTATCCATTCATTTATTGATGGAAACTTAGGTGTGTCTGTCTTGGCTAATGTGAATAATGGTGCAATGAACACGGGAGTGCAGATACTTCTTTGATAGCCTGTTTTCATGTCTTTGAATATATGTGTACCTAGAAGTGGTATTGCTGGAGGATATGGTAGTTCTGTTTTTAATTTTTTGAGGAAGCTCCATACTGTTTTCCATAGTGCCTGTACCAGTTTACATTCTCACCATCAGTGCACAAGGGTTCTCTTTTCTTCACACCCTCGCCAATACTTGATATGCTCGTCTTGATAACCAGCATTCTGATAGATGTGAGGTGATACCTCATTGTGGTTTAGATTTGCATTTCCCTGGTGATGAGTGATGTTGAGCATTTTTTATGTACCTGTTGGCCATTTGTATGTCTTCTTTGGAAAAATGCCTATTCAGTTTATCTGCACATTTTTAAAATCAGATTGTTAGGGTTTTGTTTTTTTTTCCTCCTTTGCTGTTGAGTTGTATGAATTCCTTATATATTTTGGATATTAACCTCTTATGGTTTGCAAATATTTTCTCCCATTCCGTAGGCTGCTTTTTCATTTTGCTGATGGTTTCCTTTGCTGTGCAGCAGCATTTTAGTATGGCTTGCTTTCATTGTCTTGGTTTTTGGTGTCAAATCCAAAAAATCATTGCCAAGACTGATACCTGAGAGCTTACTTCCTATGTTCTTCTAGAATTTTTATGCTTTTGGGTCTTATGTTCAAGTCTTTAATTGGTTTGAGTTGAATTTTGTGTAATGGTGTGCAATAGGGATCCAGTTTCATTCTTTTGCCTCTGGCTGTCTAGTTTTCCTAGCACCATCTACTGAAGGAGGCTATCCTTTCTCCATTGTATGTATATTCTTGGCTGCTTTATCATATGTTAATAGAGCATTATGCATGAATTTATTTCTGGGTTCTCTATTCTCTGTTGCTCAACTTTTTCTTCCTTTTACTGTTGTTATTAACATTGATACTTCTTCTGTGTTTTAAGAATTTAGGATAATTTCTTTAGTCTGGATTCCCAGAAATGTGATATTGGCCAGGTTTTAAGGTTAGGATTATTTTCATGTTCTTTGAAGAGAGTACACTGAAGTTGATTTGGTACATTTTTAGTTCAGACGTGCAGTTTATTAGGCCATGTTTGAATACTTAGCAGGCAACTGAAAAACCAGGTTTTGTTACAGGGTGGAGATATGGGAATATGTATCTGCTAGAGAAGAGATTGGAGAGTTTATGTATTGACATTCTGGAAATGCTTGGGAGAGAAAAAAGGCTGGTAAGGTTGTGGATGAATTTGTATTATAGAAGTCATAAAACTCAGAAAAGAAGATTTAAGAAAAATAAAGCTTTATATTTACTGTTTCTGTCTCACATAAATTACTTCATTTTGTGACTAGGAAGTATCTGAAGCTGGATACAAGCTCAGTAAAGATTGTGGAGGAGGCCACTACAAGGTCTTACTTGAGAATATACTCCCATTTGTTATAGGCTTTCTTTTCCAGACGTTGATGATGAAGAGAAAGACTGGGATTGTCTAAATTGAAATTTTATCAGATTAGGACATTGCATATGACAGTCCATTGAGTGAAAACAAGCAATCAAAATGAATGACTGGCACTGCCCCCCATTTTTTTTTTCAACAACTTCTAAAGCAATTTTGAATTATTTCTGATCATAAGCTTGGTTTTAAGCCCTTCTCACTTGGGAGACTACTGACTTGGGACCATTTTCCTTTTTTTAACCAAAAAGTAGCTTTTATAGGTTTTGGTTAGATAAACCATTTAACAAACAAAAAAGAGAGGCAAACCAAGAAACAGACTCTTGACTATAGAGAACAAACTGGTGGTTACTGGAGGGGAAGGGGAGGAGGTGGGAGGATGAAATAGGTAATACGGATTAAGGAAGGCAGGTGTTGCACGGAAGTGATGAATCACTATATTTACACCTGAAGCTAATATTACGCTATATGTTAACTAACTGGAATGTAAATAAAAACTTGTGGGGGGAAAAAAAGGAAAAAAAAGAAAAATCTTAGCCACATGCCTTTTGATTGAAGGGCTATAAAGTTAATTTCTAAAATGGTTTGTAACCTTTTAAGCAAGGTGTATTTTGTAGCCGTTTCCTCATTATCTGTTTAGGCATTTCCTTGTGAGGGTAATGGATGTACCCCCTTCGTAAATATCATTTCCTAAAGATGCCCACTGCTTTTGAAAGTAGTGTCTGCCTTTAACAGTTTGTTACTCCATTTTGGTTATTTGATCATGCCTCCTGCCTTATTTTTCTTTTATAACCATAGAAATACTTACATTAAAATATGTTTACTGTTATTTTGTTTCTTAAAAAATGTAAGGTATACCTTACATCTTTAAATGTATGTACCATTTCCAAAATTATATTTCAGTAATTAAGTTGGTGAATTGAAAAATGTTATATTCCTGGTAAGAGGTGGATAAGAAATATTTGAGTACTATTTTATAACAACAAATATAAAGTTTAGAGTTTCATGGAAAGTTTTCACAGTGTATCTTTCCAGGTTTTTTCTTTGCCATTCTCTTCGTTACTGCTTCTCAGTATCACATTTCACTAATTCAGTAACATGCATCTACTTATGTCTCTAAGTCTTCTCATGGTATTCTCTCTTACAGATTTATCCATATTCCTCTCTGATTTTTCACCAGCAATCCAGTCCACACTTAAGTGTTATGTCCCTTTGTCACTTCTGTGAAACTCCCCCTCACACAAGAACCCATTATTGCCCTCCTCTGCTACCTCAGTACTTGGTATCTATTTTGTCTGTTACACATATGTCTTTTTACAGCCAGTTGTATTTATTTTTATCTCCCACACAGGACTGTGAGCTCCATTGTCTTTGTTTACTTAGCGTCAAGCCAAAAGCCTTATTCATAGTGGTTCTTCATTTACTGGGCAAAGGGATATCCTTTGGGGGTGCGAAACCTAGGTTTATCAAGGAGCAAACCTACATCCTTTGCTATAAAATTGTAGTAACAGTACAAGTTTGAAAGGAAAAAGGCCATTGGGTTCAAGTACTTCAAATTACAGTTTTTGTTTTTTTTTAAGATTTTATTTATTTGACAGAGAGAGAGACAGCAAGAGAGGGAACCACAAGCAGGGGGAGTCGGAGAGGGAGAAGCAGGCTCTCCTCCGAGCAGGGAGCCTGATGCGGGGCTCCATCCCAGGACCCTGGGATCATGACCTAAGCTGAAGGCAGACGCTTTAACGACTGAGCCACGCAGGTGCCCCTCTAGGATCTTTCCTTCTTTCTTTCTTTCTCTTTCTTTTTCTTTTTCTTTTTCTTTTTCTTTCTTTTCTTTCTTTCTTTCTTTCTTTCTTTCTTTCTTTCTTTCTTTCTTTCTTTTCTTCTTTCTTTCTCTCTCTCTTTCTCTCTCTCTTTCCCTCTCTCTCTCTTTCTTTCTTTCTTTGTTTCTCCATCATTTCTTTTTGATAATGGTGCTTTGTACTTAATTGTCAATTTTGGTCTTTGTGTATAAACCATGAGAAGCAAAGGGCACAGCGATGTGCTATGGGCCTTTTATTTGTATATGTTTAAATTATTTTTCATTGTGCCTTAAACTTTCTAATTATAAAAGTATCATTTAGGTAAATGCTTCTGATAGAAATTCCCACAAAATAAAGATACACAAAAGCAAAAAGACACTCTTATTTGTACTCTTAATATTCCATACTTCTTCACAGAGATCCTCATGATAGAGTCTGATTTGAATATTTTCATTCTTCTCTCTATACATTTGTGTTTAGATATAGATACTAACTTTAAAAAATATAACTGGGATGGATATAATATGTATATGTGGGTGCCTGCATGCACGTGTGTCTAGGTGTTTAATGACTTTTTTTTTCTGACTTAACCATATGTCTGGGAGAGCCATATTAGTACCTGGTGATTGGTTTCCTTTTTAAATTTTTGTTAGCCATATTGTGGATATACATTATGGTAAAATAGAAAAACCCAGGGAACATAAGCAGCAAGGTATTTCATGTAATCAAGTGACAGCCCTTGAGGTGTCCAAACAAATTAATGTTTGATGAGTTGGGATAGTTAGCACAGAACCTTACCTTTGACTTGCTCATGTGAATTCTTTTTGCATCAGTTTTTTAAATATTAATGTTTAAATGTTAAAATGTTTAAATCAAAACTTAAAAAAAGAATACAAAGTTCTGGCAATGAATCTCAACAGTGATGATTTCTTTTGTTTTGTTTTGTTTTAAGACTTACTTATTTGGGGGGGGTAGGGAGAGGGAGAGAGAGGAACTCACGCAGACTCCCCGCTGAGCACAGAGCCCGACCCTGAGATCATGACTTAACCAATGCCACCCAGGTGCCCCCAGTGATGATTTCTATAAGTTATCTCAGGGTATTTGTTACTGAGTTAATTAAATATTCCATTTTCTACTGTCAAGGATTCTTTGGCAATAGTTGTCAGAATTGAAAGTCTTTTATTCTGTTTTTAATATCTCTTGCTTGCCTTATTTTCATTAACATTTATTTGAAAACTTCATTTGCTTATCATAAGATGAATTCTTTTTTCCAGCATCCAGTGTTGGATGAACCAATAGCAGAAGCTGTCTGTATTATAGCAGATATGGATAAATGGACTGTTCAAGTGGCCAGTAGCCAGAGACGAATGACAGATAATAAATTGGGAAAGGAAGTCTTGGTTTCCAGTCTTGTGTCCAACCTGCTTCATTCCACTCTTCAGCTTTATAAACATAACTTGTCTCCAAATTTTGTAAGTATGTATAAGGCTTGAATTATTTAGCACTCCGATAGGTGACTGAACTTTATTTAGTATATGCCTATATTGAGCACTGCTGTTAGCTTCCTCATTGTTTCCCAGAAAAAAGATGTTATGGACTAAAGGTTTGTGTTTCTCTAAAATCCATGTGTTGAAGCCCTAATACCCAGTATGATGGTATTTGGAGATGGGCCTTTGGGAGGTAATTAGGGTTAGATTAGGTGATGAGGGTGGAGTCCTCATGATGGGATTCGTGGATCTTCTAAAAAAAGGAAGAGAGATTGTGAGGACAGAGCCAGAGACAGTCATCTGCCTGCCCAGGTGAGAGCTCTTGCCCGAACTGGAACATGTTAGCACCCTGACCTTCACACTTTCAGCCTCCAGAACTGTGAAAAAATAATTCTCTGTTGTTTAAATCACTGAATCTATGCCATTTTGTAATGGCAGCCCAAGGGGATGTGTACATGTCTATGTATTGTATGGTTTCAGCAGCTAGAATTTGGTGCCTGAGTAGTTTCATATAAGGTATGGACATGCAATGTCCCCAAGCTTTGTGCAGAATGCCAGTGCTTTCTAGAGCTTCATTGTCCTGTTAGGACTTAGAATGAACACTCTTCGTAATACTAAGTAATCTCTTACTGAAGACACCATTTCCAACTTTCAAAGTTCTTCTTTTTCTTGTTAGGACAAATATAATACAGCTTACTTAAAAACCTCTGTAGATCAACATGATAAAGGCCACATATGACAAAACCACAGCTAACCTTATTCTCATTGGTGAAATATTGAAAGTTTTACCTCTGTGATCACGGACAGGACATGGATGCCCACTTTCACCACTTCTATTCATCAGAGTACTAACTAGAAAGCCCTAGCCAGGGCAGTTAAGCAAGAAAAAGAAATGAAAGGCATCCAAATTGGAAAGGAAGAAGTAAAATTCTCTCTGCAGATGACATAATCTTAAATGTAGAAAACTTAAAGATTCCACAAAAAAACTGATAGAGCTAAAAATGAATTCAGCAAAATTGCAAGATACAAAATCAGCATGCAAAGGTAGTTTCATTTACATACAGTAGCAATGAACAGTCTAAAATGGAAGTTAAGAAAGCACTGTTAAAGAAGAACAAAGATGGAGGACTCACACCTCCCAATTACTCCAAAGTGACAGTAATCAAGGGCCAAAAGAATATAATAGCCCAAAAATAAACCCTTACTTACATGGTCAGTTGGTTTTGGACAAGGGAGCCAAGACCATTCAAAGAGGAAAGGAGCCCTTGAAATAAACCGTGCTGAGAAAACTGGATATTCACATGTAAAAGAATGAAGTTGAACCCTTAACCTATTGCATGTACAGAAATGAACTCAAACTTGAATCTGACTTAAATTGAAACTTAAGTGCTTAAACTATCTGTAAAACTGTTCAGAGAAAACATAGGGGATAATCTTTATGGCATTTGATTTGGCAAGGATTTCTTGGATTTAACACCAAAAGGACAGGCAACAAAAGTAAAGAATAGATACATGGAACTTTATCAATAATCAAAATTTTTGTGCACCAAAGGACACTATCAACAAGTGAAAAGACAATCTGCAGAGCAGGAGAAAATATTTGTAAATCATATATGTTCAAAGAGATTGGTATCCAGAGTAACAAAGAACAACTCAATTTAAAAATAGGCAAAAAAGGGGTGCCTGGTTGGCTCAGTTGGTTAAGCGACTGCCTTCGGCTCAGGTCATGATCCTGGAGTCCCGGGATCGAGTCCCGCATCTGGCTCCCTGCTCAGCAGTGAGTCTGCTTCTCCCTCGGACCCTCCCCCCCTCGTGCTCTCTCTCTCTCTCTATTTCATTCTCTCTCTCAAATAAATAAATAAATAAAATCTTTAAAAAAAATAAAAATAGGCAAATAGACATTTCTTTAAAGAAGTAGACATGGTCAATGAGCATATGAAAAGATCTTCAGGAAAGTACATATCAAAACCACAGTGAGATAGATACTCCTTCACACCCATAAGTGTGGCTATGATAAAAAACACAAAAACAACAAGTATTAGCCAAACTGTGGAGAAATTGGAACCCTTGTGCATTGCTGGTAGGAATGTAAAAGGGTGCAGCTGCTGTGAAAAACACTTTGGCAGTTCTTCAAGAAGTTTAACATTGTATTGCCCTGTGATCCAGCAATTCTACCTATGGGTTTATACTCAAAACAGTTGAAAGCAGGGACTCAAAAAATTGTACCATCATGTTTATGGCTGCATTATTTGAATTAGCCAAAAGTTGAAAACACCTCATGTCCATTAACAAATGAATGGATAAACAAAATGTGGTATAATACATAGAATGGAATAGTTCAGCCAAGATAAGGAATGAAATTCTGATACATTCTGATACAATATGGATGAACCTTGAACACATTATGCTAAGTAGAATATGTGAAAAGGACAGATATTATAGGATTCTACTTAAATGAGGTCTTTAGAACAGGCAATTCATAGAGACAAAGTAGATAGAGATTACCAAGGGCTTGGGGGAGGAGGGAATGAGGAGTTATTATATAATGGGTACAGAGTTAATGTTTGGGATAATGAAAAAAGTTCTGGAAATGGATAGTGATGATGGTTGCACAACATTGTGACTATCCTTAATGCCACTGAATTGTATACTTAAAAATGGGTAATATGGGGGGTGCCTTGGTGACTCAGACCTATGACGACTCTTGATCTCAGCTCAGGTCTTGATCTCAGGGTTGTGAGTTCAAGCCCTGTGTTGGCCTCTGTGCTGGGTGTGGAGCCTACTTTTTAAAAAAAAGGGTAATATGGTAAATTCACAGATATATGTAAATTATATATACAGTTTATATATATATGTGTGTGTATATAATTTCTATTTTGTTTTTCCAAGAAGAAAGTGGGTTTTTATTAGCAGTTTGGGTTTTTATTTTTTATTTATTCATTTATTTTTTAAAGATTTTTTTTAAATTTATTCATTTATGATACAGAGAGATAGAGCATGAGTGGGGAGAGAGGCAGAGGGAGAGGGAGAAGCAGACCCCCTGCTGAGCTGGGAGCCTGATGTGGGGCTCGATCCCAGGACCCTGGGATCATGACTTGAGTCGAAGGCAGACGCTTAGCCATCTGAGCCACCCAGATGCCCCTGGTGTTTTTTTAAGTAAGCTCCACACCTGATGTGAGGCTCAGACTCACAGCCCTAAGATCAGGAGTCCCACACACTACCAACTGAGCCAGCCAGGTGCCCCTATTAGTAGTTTTTTTTTTTTTTTTTAGATTTTATTTATTTGAGAGAGAGAATGAGATAGAGCATGAGAGGGGGGAGGGTCTGAGGGAGAAGCAGACTCCCCGCTGAGCAGGGAGCCTGATGCGGGACTCGATCCCAGGACTCCAGGATCATGACCTGAGCCGAAGGCAGTCACTTAACCAACTGAGCCACCCAGGCGCCCCCCCATTAGTAGTTTTAAAAGTTGATTTTCATTGGAAAGGAATCCTCTGGAAGAATTCAGTGTTTTAACACCTGAAACTCATGCTTTTTCCTCAAATGTTATAGCATCAATTCACATGCAAAATCACCTATTTTATTAAATTGAGCAAATTAATTGATAAGGGAAGTGTATGTGTTTTAGTTTTTAATGTTCTAGCTTAGAAACATCTGTCTTCTAGTAAGGACTACTGGGCATTTTCTGTGAGCTATTGCTAACTTTTTTCTTTAACTCTCCACGGGAGAATGCAGCCTTTCCTGTGTAAATACATTTGAAATGCATCAATTTATGAGTATTATATTTATCAAATTTGGAATAAAAACATTTTTTAAAGTTCTGGAAATGTGTAGTGGTGATAATTTCACTTTTTTTGGATGTACTTAATGCTTCTCAATTGTACACAAAAATGGTTAAAATGGTAAATTTTTTATTATGTATAATTTACCACATTTAAACAAAAACTCTGTAGAATCTAAATCTTTGATATTAACTAGAAAAAAATACAATCCTTCAGCTAAAATTATGTGCTTTAAAAATGTGCTCCAAATTTTAGTTTATGTAGGAAAAACAATTGTCATAAACATGATGCTTTGGAATTTGCCATTACTTCGAGCTAGAAACCATTTTCTTACCTGGTTCTTGTTTCCCCCTTAACTGCAGTGTGTAATGCATCTTGAAGACCGATTACAGGAGTTATACTTCAAAAGCAAAATGCTGTCTGAGTACCTGAGGGGACAGATGCGTGTTCACGTCAAGGAGCTAGGAGTGGTTCTAGGGTATGTTTGTGGCTTTGTTTTCTTATTGCACTTTCTTTAGGCAAAGAATATTCCCCAGAATTGCCTTTTAGAAGTTGGACACTGTTATCAGTTGGGTTGCTTTATACCATATAAAAGCAGATCCTTGGCTTCCACTGATCTGAAAGGCATTGTCCCTTATACTATTAGAGTAAGTTGAGAAACTTATAATTTACTTACATTGTAAACTCATCATTCCCAGCATCTGCCCTTCCATCCAAATGAGCTGACTGAAGTAACACCATTCTGTGGGTGGTAGTACATTATCTACATATTATTACTCCTTCTCCATTATCTATGTCTGTCTACTTTGTAGTTATCCCTGGGAAGAAGACATTTTTTTAAAATGCTAACTGAAGGAAGAACAGGAAATTGGTGGGAAACACTGATTAGCGCTTTTCATTATATTTTGTAGTCACTTCGCCTATGTTCCATGGCTTCTTGTGTGTGTGTGTGTTAATTATTTCCTGAAATCCTAGTTGCATAAATTGAAACAAGCTAGAACTTTTTTTAATTAAGCTTTTTAGAAGGAAGAGAGAACCAACATCAAGTAGCAACTGTGTCAGAAACCAAATTAAATTCTTTCATTAATATTATTCCTCATCATCTAGATTGGATATAGATGATTCTGTGTGTGTCATGCCTTTATTTAAAAAAATTTAGGGGCACCTGGGTGGCTCGTTGTTAAGCGTCTGCCTTCAGCTCAGGTCATGATCCCAGGTTCCTGGGAACAAGCCCCACATCGGGCTCCCTGCTTGGTAGGAAGCCTGCTTCTCCCTCTCCCACTCCCCCTGCTATGTTCCCTCTCTCACTGTGTCTCTCTCTGTCAAATAAATAAATAAAATCTTTAAAAAAAATTTAAAAAACATAAAAAATGTAAACTAGTTTTTAATGTAATATGCATATAACCAAATTTTACAGTGCATTTTGACATAAAATAAAAATTAAGTTGTCACTGTCTTTTCCCCAACATCTGATCCTCACCCAAACACAATTAATGGATTCTCTCTTCTTACAGAATTTTTAAAATATAAAAAGTATAAATTGGTTTACTTTCTGTATATCATTGTGCAACTTGACTTTTAATATATTGTGAATGTTCATTTAAGTACATACTGATTTATCTCATTACTTTTAATGGTTGTATAGCATTTCATTATATGGTAGAATTTATATTATTTTTAGGTTTTGTGCTATTACAAATCAATGCTGGAATGAATATAAATCTTTGAAGTTTGTAGGATAAATTCTTAGAAGTAGAATTTTTGGTTAAAGGACATGTGTATTAAATTTTTGATGGATATTGTTAGTTATTGTGATAGATAATACTAAAGGTTGTCCAAAAAGTATCAGAATAAATTCTCACAGACAGCAGGAAGCACACTCTTGCTACTGCTGGCTATTACCAAGCTTTTTCATCTTTGTCAAGCAACTAGCTGAAAAAATGTAATGTGATTTTATTCAGATTTATTCTCTAACCGTGAATAAGCCTACATAACTTTTTCTATATTTATTGGCCACTTTTTTTTCCTATAAATTATTCATGGTAGGATGTATTTTTAAGAAGCTTCCATTACAAAGAAAAGCAGCAGCAGCAGCTTCCATTACTTCTTCCCAGTACTTTTTTTTTTTTAAAGATTTTATTTATTTCAGAGAGAGAAAGCGCGAGAGAGTGCACATGCATAAGGGGATAGGGGCAGAGGGAGAGGGAGAGAATCTCAAGTGGTCTCCACTTGCCCTGAGTGCAGAGCCCAGTGTAGGGCTCTCACGACCCTGAAATCATGACCAGAGCCGAAACCAGGAGTTGGATGCTTTACTGACTGAGCCACCCAGGCGTCCCCAAGTACTTCTATAAAAACATTTGTATCCAAAATAGTATGGGTGGACACATTTATTCTATTAGACTTTATTGTATTTCTTAAGATACTGTCCCTTGCCCTGATGCCTGGTCTATTAGATCAGTGAGATGCTTTCCTACATCCATGACTTTGTTACTATTGGGTTTCAGTGGCTTTCTTTTTAAAAAAAACTTTTGTTCTGGTTTTTACTTACTGAAACATTTCCAGTTTGTGTTATCTTCAACTCTCTTCTTACCCTTTTCCCTTTGGCCCGAGTGGCCTAGGTTCTTGACTGCTGAGATATGGTATGTAGCATTTATTACCTGTAAGACCATGTGTTGGTTACAGAAAGCCTAAACTGAGATTTTTGTTTTCTTTATTTCAGGATTGAATCCAGTGATCTTCCTCTTCTGGCTGCTGTAGCAAGCACTCACTCTCCATATGTTGCTCAGATACTCCTTTAATATAAAGGTTGTTAGAAATTAACTTTGGTAGAAAGTTAAACAGAAACCAAGGAAGTAGTTGCAACATTCATTTATGGCAGTGTTTTTCCCCGTTAGTCTTCGATCTGAATGAGTCAAATGCCTGGGTATTCTGCGTTGCAGTACGTATTGTGTGATCATTGGATTGCTTTTTCCTTTTGGTTGGACTTTTGGGTGGTGGTATACTTTTAACCAAGTGAAACTAAAACAGCATAAATAATTTTGAGGGAAAGCATTTGAAAAAGCCAAAGTGTAGAAATTTATAAATGAGTAACATCAAGGAATTTCATATGATCACTCCCGTGTTGCCATGCTCATAAATAGCAATGGATGTCTCACGATTAAATGGCTCAGCAATAGTCATTTCATTAGTTTTAATTCCTTATTTCTAAGGTATGGATAGATCTATAAAACCTTGATTATTCGTTTTGTTTTTCAATTCAAAATAGTAATTTTGGGGTATTTCTCGAAGTATTTTAAACAGCCTGTTATAGTAAATCCAGGATCATGAGTGTAAATGTGTGTATGTTATCCACCCAAGTGTACATATGTATCTATTTTTTAAAAAAGCAGTGGTAGAAATACAAGATTGGTAAACATACCTTTTTTTAAAATATTTTCAACTAGTATAAATTGTAAATAGTGTTTAAATGTTACTCTCTGGTGAATTTTCTGTTCACACACCCTAAAATATAACTAAAGCCAATCTTTTCTTAAGGCTGAGGAATGTAGATTCCCAAAATAAGAATACTACTTTATACCATTTGTTTTGTTTATAAGTATAAGCTAATTCTTAAAAATGTTAATATTTACATATTTGCATCTAATTTAATAAATGAAAATTAGGATTAAAAATTACACCAAAGCATTGGGAAAAATAATACTATTTTCTTTAAAAGTGCTCAGGTAGCCAAGGCCTTTGCTTTCAGTATCAGCCCTTCTTGAACCCACAGGAACTGAATATTTGTTTCACTGCTTCATAATATTCAGTTTACACTAATAGAGCTCATTTTACCTCTTAAAATTATTCTCTTTTCTCTAACGGCCCTTCCCTTCCAAAACCTAGTTTTTTTCCAAATACTTTCACTTTTCAGTTGTTAATGTTTTTGTATATATTGTCGAGTGTTGCTTATGAGAAAGGCTAATATGGAACCAAACTCTTGTAAGTAATGTAAATAGAAAGATGGGTAGATAAAGTTTTCAATATGCTCTACTACCTCAGTTTACTTGAATACTACATTATAGTTTATTCTTTACTTATCTGATCTAAGATACTTTTAATGCTAGACGTGAAATTGGTTTCTGCTTTCATGGACTATTTTCATCGTAATTAATTGATTAGCTTAAAAGCCCACTTGTTTATTCTCTTACTAAGTATAATTACTGTATAATACATTCATTCTTGCTGTTTGAATTTTTAGTAATTAAGGAAAATTTCTGTGGTTGGTTTAGTCTTTGGCCTTGAATTTATAGTGTTGGGTCACATTTTGCCTTGTTCTTTATGTATTCAAGAAATCTCCAACTAGACAAGAAATGGTTGTTTTGATGGAGTGTAAACCTGAAATCGTGCCTGCAATCACTTTTGCCCCTGCATCCTATCAGCTGGTCCCAGTTAGTACCTGAGTCTCCTGTGGATGACTTGCTGCCAAAGAGTATTTATGGATGTTTTCTTTGGCTTAATTTTCTTGTTCCATTAATTATTGAAATTCTTCCCTCTTTTATTGTTTGGAATTCTATGAGTCAGTCTCTTTGGCAGAATTCAGAATATAGACAGATTAGTAGGTGGGCCATTGTACATTATTTTTTGATTGTAGTTGAGAATGATATGTACCAGGTAAATAATGCCTGTTTTTGCTTGTTCCTTTTTTTTAATTAATCGTCAAACTCTTTGAAGTCCTGTTTGAAATCTCTGTCATTTAGGAAATCTAGTCTTCAAAAAATGGATGGCCCATGCTACCGTTACTTTTAAAAGTAAGCTTACAGGGCGCCTGGGTGGCTCAGTTGGTTGTGTCTGCCTTCGGCTCAGGTCATGATCCCGGGGTCCTGCCTGCTTCTCCCTCTCCTCTCCACTCATGCTCTATCTCTCTCAAATAAATAAAATCTTCAAAAAAATAATAAAACTAAGCTTTGCTCAGAAGGAAGAGGCCTATAGTTTCTTATAGAATCATTAATCCTTATAGGATTCCTGAGTTTTATAATTCCTAACCCTCCGTAATTTCTACTACCTTCATCATAGTCTTGTTTTTCCTTACACAAAGCCCAAGGAATGAGCTGCTACTTCTTTAAAGTGTGATCATTATGATGAATGTGAAAAGTTTTGGCCTGTCCAAAATAATTTTTTCAACTTCCTATGGTACAGACAAATATGTGTTACATATTTTAAAAACCTGTTTGTTTCAACAGGAAATAAAAAAAACTTGCAACAGGAAATGAAAAAGGGATCTTTTACATTATAGATTTAAAACTAATTTTTCCTTGTATATAAACTAATTGGTTTGATTTGAAATATTCCTGGCTTTTATTAATATGTCTTAATATTGAGTTTGAAAATGTTAAGTGCAATAAACATACTAGCACAGATTTTATTTTGTTGCAATTGGCATACACTGGGGATGATCACTTTAAAAAAAAAGATTTTACACAATGCCTACTTCTGGTGGATGTCTTATGAGATTGTTCTGCTTTCTCTAAGTTATTTAGATGGTGGGATATGTAAAATGTATATACTTGTTCCTTGTTCTGTATACATTTCTCAAATGTACACCTGTATTATAAATAACCTCCCAGTTCTAGGGGAAATTTGTGCAATAAATACACGTCAATTTGATGGACGATGTTGGTCTTTATTTCATATGTAAATAAGGTATATGTAATATGGACTCTGGTGTCTGCTCACTTGTATTCTTTTCACAAGTGTGGCACTTCTAGATATGTGATCTTGTTCATAATGTCCTTCTTTAATCCCAAATTTCTTTACTGGTATTTACTAGAATCTACTTTCTGAGGTGGTTGTGCGAATCAGGTGAAATAATGAATGTCAAAAATTTATCTCAGTGCATGGCACACCCCATGTGCTCAATAATTTTTGGCTGTTGCTATTACTGGGTAATCTGTCCAGCCTCCCCACTATGGCCCCCAGCTGTTGTGGGGAGAATTTAACATTATGTTCTTATGAATGAAAATATAGTCACAAAAAATATACTGGTATAATGTTCCATTTGACCTGTTCCTCATGATGACAAATAGAAAATTTCTTTAACTGAAAACAAACTATAATTTATTTAAAACCTGGAAGAAGCCATGTAAACCAGTTAAGAACATGGTATTCAGTACAAATTACCATTGACTTTATTTTTTTACTTTTTATTTTTTTTTTAAGATTTTTATTTGACACAGAGAGAGAGTGAGAGAGAGAGAGAGCACAAGCACAGGGAGCGGCAGGCAGGCAGAGGGAGAGGGAGAAGCAGGCTCCTCATGGAGCAAGGAGCCCGATGCGGGGCCTAATCCCAGGACGCCGGGATCATGACCTGAGCCGAAGGCAGCCGTTGAACCAACTGAGCCACCCAGGCACCCCACCATTGACTTTATAATTAAACCAAGTATCGGCCAGTTGGTTTGTTCACTGATTTGCATGTGACTCTGAGCAAGTCTGTCCTCTTCATCTTCATTATAGGGTAAGTAAGCTCTTTCATCAGTCCAGAGTGCCTGCTCTGCAGCTCTGCAGCAGTGATTCAGCCCTGAGTAGGCTGTTGAGATGCCAACTTAAGTTACTCAGGCCAGTTGATTCGGGCAGAGTTATGTCAAGAGGAAGAATTAGACCAGTGGCTTTTTGTAGTGCCTGTTTTCATATCATTTTATATATATCACTCCTACATTTGACCAAAGAAAATAAGTGCACTATTTTAAAGCAGAGAGGAAATGTCAAGTATTTGGGAAGCATCCATCAGATATTTTAGAGGCTTATAACTGGTACCTGTGTTGATATGCACTGTTCCCACATACAAATTCAGAGAAATCTTGGAACATTTCTGAGAAGCATAGAGGAGTGATTTTGGTAGTAAGAATCTGAAACACAGACTTTAATCTGAGATCATACAGTCTTTCCATGAGGGTTTGTTTCTCAGACCAGAATGGTTTCCACCTAGTATGTGGTGACAAATGTATTGTAAAAGATTATCTGGTATTCGTTTGTTTTTGCTGTTAGGATGGCACATGGAACCAAACCTGAGGTGAAGGTGCAAGGGCGGGGGAGCTGGGAATTGTAGCTTTGAGTAAAAAGGCAGAGGTTAGAGAGTCTAGTAGTGCTTCTTATCCTTGCTTTGGAGTGCAGACCATGGACTTGGTCTTGTTTGTTCTAGGTTTAACCTTTGAGACATCCCTTAAAAAAAAAAAAAAAAATATA